TTGGGCCAGACTGCTCCAGACCTGGCGGGCAGCCCTCTGAGGGCAGGAGAGCTTTCAGGGCCCCTTCCCCACACACAGACCGGCAGACAGTCTTCCTGGGCCCCACATGGAAGGGCTTTGACAGGGCTTCCGTCCCACCCCGGCTGTGGAGGGGGTGGGGGCAGGGGTGTGGCCTGGCTCCAGCCGTTCTGCTCTGACCCCTGTGGCCTCCTCTCCCCGGCGCCCTGGGCGGTGGGCTCCAGCCCTGTCTCACCGGCCAGGCCGGGCCCCTCCACCTTGTCTGCTCCTGGACCAACTCTGCTCAAGACCCAGAGTCTGCGCGCAGCCAGCTCATGTGAAGAGCAACACCCCTATCAGCTCGTGTTCAAAGGCATTTTTGGTCCAAAGAGCCTGATTCTTAAAGATAAGAAGGCCATGCCTTCAAAAGGACAGAGATTCTGCTTTGTGTTTAAAAACAAAACCGAGTGAAAAGGCACCCAATGACCCCGACTGTGAAGCACCTGTTCACCAACCTGAGGGGCCTCTGACCTCCTTAGATTCCGGCGTGTTCTTTTCCTGGGGCATCGGTAAGCGTGCGTGTATATGCATGTGTGCACGTGTGTGCACGTGCGTGTGTGAGTACATGTGCATTTGTATTAGAGGGATACATTCATTGCAGACGTTTATGAAATACAACTGTCTTCTTCCGCAAAATCCTGGGAGCACAAAACAAGACAAAGCAAGCTGTCACGGAGATAAAGGTACCAACTGTAAATTAGAACCTTAGGCAAACTGGCCTGAAATGAAGTCAAATCTGCTGCGTTTATAGGAGGTCACCAAGTCCTGTGGACTTGGCGGGGAGAGTTAGCAGGGGTCAGCATGTCCCCGTCCCCTCTGCCCGGACTGGAGGAAATACAGGCTGTGAGACCCCCCTCCTTGCCTAGCCCGAGAGAGGACGGACAGGGCTGCTCCCAAACTCTTTCTTTCCTGAAGTCGGCGCCCCCATGACTGTACGGAAATTGTCCCCTTGTCTTGCACGATCTCTCTCCAGGGGGTCTGCTGCGGCCCTGGTTGGCTTTGGGGGACACACTTGTCCCCAGTGGGCCCCTGGGCTGGGGCGGACGCCCCGGGCCCCTTGCCCCAGTGACAGCAGGGAGCTTTTGGCCAGGAGGGGCCTCAGGGACACAGCTGGGGCTCCTGTTTGCGCCTCACCACTTTGTTTTTCCCAGGTGGTGCAGCTGAGAGGTCCCCAGACGCCCGGGTCCCAGCTGAGGCTGCCCTGCCTCCCGCATCTGTCCCTGGTGACGCATGTGCCAGTTTATTAGCTAAATGCTGCCTTTTCTAGATTAATTGACTCCCGAGCTTAAATAGAGAGCATGGCATGTCGGTGGACTTCTCCTTGTGTAACACTATTTAATGATTCAAAGTGTCTCAGCGTGTCTGCATGGCCACCCTGCCCTCCAGCTGCCACCACCATATGCCACCTGGCCCTCTGCGAAGAACTCCGACCATGACTCAGGGCCTCTCTCCCCAGGACCCTGGTTTGGCCACAGATGCTCGGCCCCTGAGAGGTGGATTCGTTTCTGCTGCGAGTGAGCGAACCTCAGTGCGCAAGTGTGCCCGGTCACTTCATTTGTGTCCGGCTCTCTGTGACCCCATGGACCAGGCTCCTCTGTCCGTGGGCTTCTCCAGGCAAGAATACTGGAGCGGGCTGCCATTTCCTTCTCCAGGGGGTCTCCCCGACCCAGGGATCGAACCCACATCTCTTGTATCTCCTGCATTGGCAGGCGGGCTCTTTACCGCTCACACCATCTGGGAACTATGCTCACCTCCACTCGAGATGAGGAGACCAAGGCTCAAGGACACTTGCCTGGTCCTCTGCGGTCAGAGGGCCCCATGGTTGCGTTTATGTGTCCGCTTGACGGGATCACGAGGTGCCCGAATGTTTGGCTAATGTCATTTCTGGGTGTGTCTGTGACGGTGTTTCTAGATGAGATTAACATCTGAACCAGTGAGCTGAGGAAAGCTGATGCCCACTCCACCCCCAGGCATGGTGGGCACCATCCAATCCGTCGAGGATGCTAATGAGCCAAACTGGAGGGAGGCTGAGTACCCCTCCTGCTGAGCGTGGAGCTGGGGCCTGCTCTTCTGCTTTCTGCTGCTGGTTTTCAGGCTGTGAGACCCAGACCAGAGTCTGCACCACCAGCTCTGCCTCGCAGGCCGTGGAGCCACACCGCCAGCCTGCGGGGTCTCCACCTTACAAACAGCCAACGGTGGGACCGCGTGGCATCCAAGATCACGTCTGTCGACTCCTTACCCTGAATCTCATTGTCTATGTGAACTTTTATCTGCTTTTCTGGAAACCTACGGCTCTTCTGGTACTGTAGGTGGGGGATGAATCCCAAAGGCCAGGCCCGGAGGCCAAGCCATGACTGCCGTGCCACGCTCACTGCAGGATCGCTGCGTGAAAGGACATGAGCGTGGGACCTTCTGGAAAGAGTCTGAAGCCAGCCCGGGGGCATAGAGTGTGGCGCTCCAGGACCTGAGCTTCCCAGACCTCAGCAGGGCTTCTGTCCACGCTCAGGGCATGCTGGTTTGGGTCGTGTGTGTTTCTGGGAAAAGATCCTAGCTGGTCTCTCCAGACACACTAGTGTTTTCAGCCCTGGCTGCCTCTTAGAGTCATTAGGGTCTCTGAGAAATCAGGTGCCCACGCCTCTTACCAATCTGACTGAGACAGAATCTCCTCGTGGGAGGCGGATTTATTCCAACAGGTGTGCATGTGTGTTTTTTTGTGTTTTTTTTTAGATTCACAGATGATTTAATGTGCAACCAGGTTTGAGAGCAAAGTACATCATGTAACCATTCATCACAAATTTGGGGGCCTCCGCCGTCACCGAGAGGCCAGGTGCAGATGGTAATTACAGCTGATTCTTGCTGTCCATGGTGGTTGTGTCCTGCAAAGTCCCCAAGAGACTGACCTAGTGGACACAGAGACATCGCTCCAAAACACAGTGTCAGTTTTCTGTGGGCTTCTTGTCACAGCGTCTTTCTCAGATGATTAGTATGTAAGCTTGTTCAGTGTGTGTGTCTGTTTGCAGACACCTCACTGAGTACCTACTGCTGATTTATAACATTGAACCCTCGGCCAATAGCCCTACGACTCAGGCCTGGATGAGGCTCACCCAGCAGAGGGGTTTTCTGTGTGAGACACAGCAGAGCCACAACTGAGGGCCCGTTACACAGCAAAATCATCACTGGTGAGTGCGGAACCTCAGCAGTCCTGGTCGTGAGTAGGCTGCAGGGAAGATGGAACAGAGGGGACGGGGTCCTCTCACTCAGGGAAGGTGGGCCCAGAGACCGAGATCTGATCCACTCTGCAGTGTCCATGAGTGTCCAGAAGTGTCCATCTGGGGACCCGGGGGTCCAAAGCTCTCAAAGACCAGAAGAGTCAGCAGACACGGAGCCCGCAGGTAAGGAGGACAGACCGTCCTGGATTCGGACCGTGGGAGCATTGTTGATGTGTCTGAGCATAGCCTCCTGTCTCAGGGAGCTGGGGTGGGGGAGAGGTTGTACTGGTCCGTCTGCAGGAGACCAGGCTTTAACTGCCTCCCCTGCCCGGGGCTCAGGGGGCTTGACGTGCTGCTTTCCTGGGAGAGGGAAGTTCCCGTGTCACCGCGGCTCACGGTTGTACACATCCGGCTTGTTTTGCTTGCTGAGCTTGGCTGGCACCTCTGGGGGCCTCCCGAGGGCTGAGTGGGGTGGGTGCTGAGGTCCTTCCTTCACGGCAGGAGGGCTCAGGGCCACTGTGCCCAGGACTGTCACATCTGCACTTGACCGGGTGCATGTGAATGAGTGTGTGGGCATGTGTGTACGTGTGCCTGTGAGTACACACGTGTGCATGCATGTGAGCGTATGTGCATGTGCATATGTGCACACGTGTGCATGTGTGTGTGGGCATTGGCATGCATGTGTGTGGATGTGAGCAGGTGTGTGTGTCCACGTGTGGGTGGGGAGATTAATGCTAATTTTCACAAGATGTCTCTGTGAGTTTGAGGTGAGTCCACGCTCTTATTTGCAAAAGGGCCGGTGTGACTGGTGGAGACTGGCCCGGTGTGACCCTGGGACGCGGGCAGTCATGAAAGCCTGGAATCACAGGCACCCATCCTCTCTGGCAGGAGGCCATTCTCTCAAGATGGCCCCACCCTCGGCCCCCTCGTGGGCCAGGTCCAGAGCGGCCTAGGCGGTGAGATCCGGGAGACAGTGGGGAGGGGCTACCCCAGGGCCCCCCGCCTTCCTTGCTAAGTCATGTAAGGGGAGGGGGACGGAGGCAGAGCCTGGGGCCTGCTGCCCCCAGACCCTCGCCGCCGCGGCGCCCCGAGCTTCCGTCCCCTCCTGGCCCAGGGCCTGCCCCGAGATGGAGAGCAGACACCAGTGTCCCTGGATCAAGGAGGCACCGTGGAGATGACCCTTATTGCAGACAGAAGGATGGGGAGGACCAGGAAAACACAGACATCAACGGCGAGCCCTGACAGCCTCTCTCTGGCTGTTACGAGGGCCAGTCACCGTGACTCAGGGGCTGCAAACACGGTCTGTTTGACGAACTGGAATCTAGTGTGGAGCTGTTCCCACTCGCTCCCTCTCTCTGCACACACGCATGCACACACACTCACACACATGCACACACCACACACATGCACATACATGCATGCACACACACACACTCACACACATGCACATACATGCATGCACACACTCACACACACACACACACACACACAAACTGTCTCGAGACCCCTCCTGTGTTCCCTGCTGGGTGACTCCCAGGCCAGCTCTGAGCGCCAGATTCTTGAACAAGTTATCAACATCACACAGTAATTTTCCACAAAGGCTCTTGGCTCATCTCCAGAGCCAGCCTCATATTTTCCCTCATATTCCAAGAAGTGAAATGAGATTAATCTCAGCGTCTTTGCGTACGCGTCATCAATTCGGTGTAACACTCCTGCAGGCGCCCCTTCTCCCAGCTCAGCAGCCCGAGGGCTCGTGGTCCTCCTGGCTCCAGACCGGCCGTGAGGCGGGCGACGGAGCAGCGGCTGGAAGAAGGGGTGAGCAGCCCCTTGTGTCCTGGGCAGCCTCCTTCCTTCTGCCACTCAGCCGCTCTTTGAGTGCCCTCGATACTGCTAAGTTAAAGAAGATGAATCTGCAGGACTTCCTGCTCCGGAGGCACTTGCTCTGAGTGATCTATCACGGCTCCGGCGCACCAGGTGTTTGATGCAAAACTAGCTTCGAGGGCGCCTTCCCCTCACAGAGCGTGCTGAGTCCGGGAACACACTCCAGGCTTTCGTCCATAGCAAACCAGCTCCTCTCGCTGGAGCTCAGCGGCCCCAACCGTTGTGTCCAGCACAGGCCGGAGAACACCGACAGCTCCGCGGGACCCACGTCCGAGGCGCAGACGGGACACTGCCGAAGCGCACGCGGGAGGCCCGGGTGTGGGGCCGCGGCCCCCAGCTGGGCAAGGCCTTGGCAGACTTCTCGGAGGAGGAGCCGCTTCCCCTGTTGGATGACAGATTCTCCCTGGGCGAAGTCAAGCTCCCGCAGGCGGGGCCCTGCCTGATGTGCGCGTGTTCTTCTGGGATCGCCTTCTCAGAAGACCACCTTCTTCTGAGTGGATCACCCCTGCCTTCGGGGAAGAGCAGTCAGTCATCTGGCAAGTGAGGCAGTGTCCGTGGCCCACCGGTCCTGGCGAGACTCACAGGGTGAGAGCCGTCACCTCCGGCAGGAGGCAGGGACGAGCCCCCCCACCCCCTGGATGGCCTCGGAGCTCTGTCTCCAGACTCAGTTTGGTGGTTTCCTGTTGCTTTTTGGCATTCTCGTGTGGCCTGACAGTTTTAAAAACTTCTGTGGCTTTGCAGTTCTTCAGTCCTTCTTTATGAATAGCTGGTTTGTAGTCCTCGGTCACCTTTCATCTGGGAGTGTTAGACATCCAGGCTTGTCAACATGCGTCACGTGTTCCTTCTCTCAACAAGAATGAAGACCCGACATGAGTGCCCACAACCTCCAGGAGCCGGGCCTGTAGGCACTACAGGTGCTGCAGACCCTGGAGGTACAGTGGTTACTGCGGGCGGTGCAGACGATGCAGGTGCTCAGGGCGTTCAGGTCCGACAGGCACTGCAGCTACTGCAGGATCACAGGAACTGCAGGCTCCGTGGGGACTTCAGGTCCTGGGATGTCACAGGTTCTGGGGGTCCACAGGGACCCCAGGGGCCAAAAACACTACCCGGCACATCCAGTACTCAGCGGTCGGAAGCCTTTGAGCCGTCCAGGGTGCAAAACAGCTGAGAGACAGTCCTGGAATCTGGGGAGCAGGCGCTCTGCCTGGGCCGCCAGAACGGTCTTGCCCATGTCGTGGGGACAAGACGGTCTCATAGGCAGGACCCAACTTGGGTTGGGAGCACCCCAGACTTCAGCGGGTCTGGCACAAAGGGCAGGGGAGCGTGACTCCCGAGGGAGAAAAGCTGGCCTGTTTGGGATCTGGAGGTACAGTCAGGAGGTCAGGAAGGCTGAATCGGAACTGAAAGTCCAGGGTCAAGATCTCCTGGCATCCCAGGGCCACCAAGCTTCCCGGGAAACCTGTGAAGACAGGGGAGGTGAGCGGTACACAGAGGCACAGCCCAGAGACCCAGCAGGGCCTCCAGTGGCCTCTGTGGTCCTCACAGACAGGGCGGAAAGTCCAGAGAGGAGCAGCCAGGGGAGTAGCAGGGGGCTGGCTGGAGAGCCAGGCCTGGACCTTCCCTCCCAGGATGAACTTGGAAGCATCTCCATCACTGGTTCCAGACCAACCGCAGGGCAGGGAGCCTGGGAACTGCATGCCACTGGGCACCTGCATCAGGGTTCAGACTCTGCGGCTCGTGCGGTGAGAACGTCCTCCCGTCAGATCTCATCTGCGCTGGACTCCACGGGATCCAGGGCCTCCCAGCACAGCCGGCCCCTGCACCAGGACCCAGGAGTCTGGGATACAGAGTGGCTCTGCAGTCCACCATGGAGGCTGGTGGGCAGCCTTCTGGGCCACTTAGTTACTTCCTGAAAAGATAGTCATACTCAGGAAACTAGTTCACTGTTTCAAAGCTACAGCTGTATTCTGATTTTTTGTGACAGATGTGGTGAAGGAAGATCAGTCTTCTTTCTGTTGTTCGGTCATTAAGCCATGCTCAGTCGGGTCCAACCCTTTGTGACGCCATGGACTGCAGCACCCCGGGCTCCCCTGCCCTTTGCTATCTTCTTCACCGCCGATTCTTTTATAAACTGGAAGGCATGGGCATCTCCCTATTTCTCACTCATGTCTGTGATGTCTGAAATATCTGGGCAACAGTATTGTCAGCAATTGTTATTTACCACTTTGGCCACCTGATGTGAAGAGCCAACTTGTTGGAAAACACACTGATGCTGGGAATGATTAAAGGCAAAAGGCGAAGAAGGCAGAGGGTGAGATGGTTAGATAGCATCACTGACTCAAAGGACATGAGTTTGAGCAAACTCCCTGGAGATCGTGGCAGACAGAGGAGCCGGGTGTGCTGCAGGCACTCAAGCCACAAAGAGCTGGACACAACTGAGCGACTCAACAACAACACACTTACTCCCTAACCCGGGACATAGAATTTTCAAACACAAAGGGAGGCGGCTGACCCAGTATCTCCTGAGCAGAGCTTCCGCAGCGTCTTCCATGGCGCTCTGTTGGGTGTTCACAGGTATTTGAGAAAGAAGTAAAAAAAGACAGATCACCTCCAGTCCCACCAGCCCCAGACAAACCATCACGTCACAACTCGTGCTTTCACTGAATGTTTTGCAAAAAAACTTGAACATGGAAAGCCCCTTCTTTTCTTTTTTATATTATTTCTATTATGCAGTCTGCCAAGCTTTAGAAACTCCAATCTGACTTCAGAATTTTATTTTTTGGAGAATTTTATTTTCCAGCCCGGATCATGGTCCCAAGGTCCAGATTCTTAAAGCAGGATTGACTTGCCTTAAGTTCTCATGCAAGCCGCTGGAAAGTTGAGGGACACTTCAGCCAAGACATTCCTCGAATCGAGGCAATGCTTATTTCATTGTGCTTGAAATTCCACAAGTGAAGTTGACTAGTGAATAGCCATACCCTGTTGAGCAGTGTCTGTTTCTGCAGGCAGACGCTCACCTTCCAGTTACAATACAGGGTGTGTGTGGGGAGCACGGACGCCCATTTCAGATAGAATTTAAAATAAGCAACAATATCGTCATGACGTCCGTTCGAGCCTGTGTTGAGGGCCCTTCTGCATGAGTCTGTGTGTTTTGGTTAGTGAGCAGATCTGTACGAAACACACACAAGCGCCTTCAAAGTGGTAGGGCCGGGCGTGGTGGAGAGGCGGGCAGGGGACGATGGGGCAGAGACGGCTGTCCCCGCCAGGACAGCGCCGTCCAGGTGTCCCCGAGCAGTCAGGGGTTCCTCACCTGTGTGACTCGTTCCCGGGCACGTTCACAGCAACGTCACTCGCTCCGGGGTCACATCAGCAAGCCTCCCTTTAGAATTTGCTCAATAATCTCACTCACCAAGTCTCCTAGCAGCCCTGGTCATGGGAGAAGAGAGCTTCATCCAGCACCATCTCTCTTTTTGTATAAATAGGGTTATAGCACAGACGCCTCCTTTCATCGGGTGATTCTGAAAGGACAGTTCTATGTTCCCCGGCCTTTTTGGAAGATATATTGGACTTTAATAAAATTTGATCAATGCATTTAAGTCAAATTGAATTATATGTAAGTGGATAGGGTTGACATATGTTTCAATATCTGCGAGTGATACATTATTCTCCAGTGAGCATAAAATTTAATGAAATATAAATACCCATTAATCCTCATGTTTCAAACAATCCGTCACTGTTGCACCTGCCTGCTGTGAGCAGAAGCGGGCCCAGAAAGTCATCTGTTTCATCTAAGCAGGAGCTCCAACCTGGAAAGACATCAGAAGGGGAGAGGAGAGGGGAGCTGGGACGGGAAAGCGGCCAGCGCCTTCGCAGGGTGCACGCCGCAGGACGGAGCGGTGGCTGGCGCTCCCTCTCAGCCCGAGTCTGCGGAGGTGTGTGCTGCCTTTGAAACCACCGGGAGAGAGGAGAACAGGCGTAGAAGGACAGCTCCTTTGTTCTCCAAGCATATTCTTTCCTTCTGGTTTCATATCGGCTCTGCTGTTAGCATCGTGCAAAGTGCCGGTGGAGACGTCCCAGGCTCAGAGTGACTGATGCCCATGAAGCATCAGGCCGCAGGACAGAGCTTCGATGGTGCTCCTGTCCTGGCGTGGGGGGAGAGGAGGCAGTCAGCAGCACGTTTCCCTTAAAATACATACTCGGACATGTAAAAATATGAAATAGATGTGATAGAGCAGTCAGCGTGTGAAGTGAAAGTCACTCAGTCATGTCCAATTCCTTGCGATCCCATGGACTGTATTGTCCATGGGATTTTCCAGGCCAGAATCCTGGAGTGGGTAGCCTTTCCCTTCTCCAGGGGCTCTTTCCAACCCAGGGATCAAACCCAGGTCTCCCACATTGCAGGCGGATTCTTTACCAGCTGAGCCATGAAGAATGCCTATACCATCAAATGGGCACCCGAGCACATTGATGAACATGGATTTTTTCCTTTGCTTCTAAGAAACAGTCTCAAAATCACCGTCTGCCACACCAGGGCACACGGAACTCAGCCTCCAAGCCACCGACTCTCTGAGGAGGTGGCCTTCTCACCTCTGGGCCTGAGTTTTGATCTGGATGGAACCCATGAGGTGAGTTCTCCTGGAGAGACGCTGAGCCGTCCGGAGGCCCATCAACTTCATCCCTGTGCAGTAGGCCGGGGTGGAGGTCTGCCAGACATGCAGGTGTCGGTGCTGCAGAAACTGGGGCTGGGGCTGACAATTCACATGCCGTTCTTGACAGGCCTTGTTTCTCAGGGACCACTGTAACTCCAGCCAGGAGTCTCAGCCCATCTAACAGGGCTAGATAGTCCGAGATGAGACCCACCGGCCAGCCGCCTCGTGGGTTCCATTCAGGTCAAAACTGGCTGCTGCCTGATGTCTTGTGAGTGGTGGGCTTGGGGCTGGGACCACCCCCCCACCCTGCCCAGGGAAGGGCAAGACCTGCCCAGCTCTAGGGACCCCGCTGCCCCTTAGGGAGGCGGGCGGACCCCAAGAAGGCCCGATAGATTCTGGGGGCGTAAAGGCAACTCATGGAAGGATTTCAGGGGATGAGAGGGCAGGCCCTTAGGAGGTGGGCAGTCTACCTGGAGGGGAGGGGTCGTGTGTCCCCAGAGCAGGAGGCCGGCCCCCAGCAGGATGCGGGGTGGAAAGGACAGGCCTGAAGACACCGGGAGCAGTGGGCGAGGGAGGAGGGGTGTGGGGCTCGGTGAGCCCTGCTTTCCTGAAGGCAAGCCTCACTGCGTGGAGCTGGAGACCAGGAACAAGCTGGAGGTGACCCCTGCGCAGGCTGGGCTTGTCCCGAAATGCATGAGCACCCACAGTACTTGGGAAAGCATGGAGCAGCCAGGGGTATGGCTGGAACCGGGGCAGGACCACAGCCACGGCGTGAGGAAGGCCCGTGTGTGCGCCTGAGATGGGCAGCGGGAGGCGCGGGGTTTCAGGGGGCAGGGTCTCTGCTCCGGGGGGATCTCTCCCAGAACCCCGCGGTGGGGAATCAGGCCCAAGGACCAGAAAGCCTGCCCTGGTCCGTGCTCACTGCTGCTGGGTAGATGGAGTCCTACAGAATGTTCTTTTTAAACCCAGAAGAAAGCACAAGATGTCTGTGAACTGGTGACAGAGGTTAAACCCCCAAAGTCTGAAGAAGTCTCCCTGGAGATGGAGCTTTTGTTAATTGGATGCAGATTTATGATACCACTGATGTACTTATTGACATTTTTATTTTTCCCTACGCACGACTCATAGTTAATTAATTTACATAGCATTACACCAAAGAAGGATGCTCTTCCTTTTTTTATTTCACAGGCGAGAGTCATAAAATTTGCTAAATGTAACCGGCCCACACCACAGGAGGCTCACTCATCTGCCTGCCACCCAGAGCACAAAAACTAAATGCTGCCCACCTCCACGAATCAAGAGTGCTGCAGGGAATTGTACTCAGTGACAGATTTCACTCACAGCGTGGAGTCTGAATCGAGTGTGCTCACAAATGACACTTTGCATTTAAAACGCTGCTCCCTGTTCAGGAATGTGAGTGGGAGAATGATTTCAAGAACTGGTGGGAGATACTCGGGGACCCTTGGCTCCTCCAGCACCAGGGTTCTCGTCAAGGGGGCTTGGGGTCACACGTGGAGCTGAGGCTCCAGATTGAATATGCGTTTTAACCAAAACTGTTGGCATTTCAAGCTTCCCAGATCGGTAAAGGAGACTCAAGAGATCAGGGTTTGATCCCTGGGTTGGGAAGATCTCCTGGAGAAGGAAATGGCAACCCACTCCAGTATTCTTGCCTGAGAAGGCCCATGAACAGGGGAACCTGGCAGCTACAGCCTATGGGGTCGCAGAGTTGGACACGACTGAGCAAGCACACTGTCACTTCCCTCTAGATTTTAGGGCTACAGGAGGGACCTGAGTGTGGCCTTATTTAGCTCAAATTCATTGAGGTAAGATCTACACCTGTCCTTTGACTTTGTGATAGAAGGTGCCCCATCCAGCTTACTCAGCACCATGCTCGGCTCAGCGCAAATGTCGGGCACCCCAAGACTTGAGTCCTGATTGTCGCCATCACACTTGGTTGGCACCCAACACCGTTTTCCGCACAGACACAAGTCTGTGAGAAGCTGCGTCAGGTAGCCGGAGGCCTTCTGGGCCACCGCAGTGGGGAGACCCTCGAGGCAGGCTGTCCGTGGCCAGGAGCTAGCTCTCAGATGGCGCTGCACCGTGTGGGCTGCGGGAGCCTCTCACAGCACCGCCCCCCACCCGGAGGAGGGCTTGCTGAAGCCCCCAGACCATGCGCTTTGCTTCTGAGGCGCTTGTCCGCAGAGGGGGGTGCCCTCCGCACGCCCACGGCCTCAGCAGCCGCCCTTCGCCATTCTTCGCAGGCAGGGCTTCAGCCCAGGGGCTCCTGCTGTCACAGACAGGCCGGTGATCCAAAGGAGGAAACCAGGGAGGGGAAAGACCCCGGCCTGCGAGAGTCAATTCCCAGGCAGGCGGACAAGCAGTCCGGGGGTCCCCAAGGACAGAGGGGTCTGGAATCCTCTTACGAAGAGGAAGGGACCAACTCTTTCCCCTCTACATTCCTTAGGATTATACAACAATAATGTATCCTGCTTGAGGACAGTTTCTGGGAAAACTCTTCTGGCTGATTCTGTTATCTTAAAATGTAAATTATGGGAGTGGGTCTAGGAAGGTCTTTACAACCTCCCGACATTCTTTTGATTGACTGTAATACAGCATATTAAAAAGCAGAGACATTAGTTTGTCAACAAAGGTCCATCTAGTCAAGGTTACGGTTTTTCCAGTGGTCATGGATGGATGTGAGAGTAGGACTATAAAGAAAGCTGAGTGCGAAGAATTGATGCGTTTGAACTGTGGTGTTGGAGAAGACTCTTGAGAGTCCCTTGGACTGCAAGGAGATCCAACCAGTCCATCCTAAAGGAGATCAGTCCTGGGTCTTCATTGGAAGGACTGATGTTAAAGTTGAAGGTCCAATACTTTGGCCACCTGATGTGAAGAGTTGACTCATTGGAAAAGACCCTGATGCTGGGAGGGATTGGGGGCAGGAGGAGAGGGGGATGACAGAGGATGAGATGGCTGGATGGCATCACCGACTCAATGGGCATAAGTTTGAGTAAACTCCGGGAGTTGGTGATGGACAGGGAGGCCTGGTGTGCTGCGGTTCATGGGGTCACAAAGAGTCGGACATGACTGAGCGACTGAACTGAACTGAACTGAATAGCTAGTTAAAAATATATAACTCCATTGCTAACAGTAGTAAGGGGCACTCTTTCTGCCCCTTTCTGATGTCTGTGTCAGAAGCTTTCTCTATCTCCTTTATATTTTAATAAACCTTTATGACACAAAAGCTCTGAGTGACCAAGCCTCGTCTCTGGCCCCAGATTGAACTCTTCTCCTCCGGAGGCCAAGAATCCCGGCGTCTTTCATGGTTCATCAACAACCTTTCAGGGCCCCCACTCCTCTTCACTTATTTGCACAGTCGAAGGCTGGGCATGGAGCTTTGGTCCACCCTTATAATTCCTCCTGCAGGGGCAGCTCTTTTGGAGGCCCTTGTAGCCTCTCTCCACTTGTGGCTCAGTGACGGGTCTGCACGTGGTCCCTCCGTGAAGGGGGAGCTGGGGCAGGCAGCCCATGGGGCTGGCTGGCAGGGTCATGCCCAGGACAGGGCTGCTCCTGGGCTGCTGGCTTCCGGGGTCTCGCGGAGAAGCTGGGAGAGGACGGCTGGGCCCAAGTTTCCATTTCCTGTCGGCTTTTGTCGTGATTTGTGAATACGGTGTCTGCTCTCTCCTCCAGTATCCTCATCTCCGCAACGGAGCAACACCTCCCCACCTGGCCTCCTGTCTCGGGGAGGTCACAGAGCGTGAGAGCAGGGCACCAGCAGGGAGGGACCAGAGGAGGAAGACAGCATCGGAGCCGGTGGCCCCTCTGTGCACCCACCCTGGGTTAGACTCCACGCGGAAGGGCTGCTCTAACGCAAACAGCGCTGCCACGCCACACCTCGGGTCCCAGGGGCCGGCCGCAGGGACAAGGCCCCCTCCCCTGCAGGACACACGACACTCTGGACCACTGGGTGGGCTGGGGGTCCCCAGGTCCTGCTCTGCTGGGCTGGTGGCAAAAGGTCTCTGAGAAGGACCTTAAGCTACACAACTGGCCCTACCTCATGCGTCATCTCCCTCATCTCAATGCTAAGAGACATTAACCCTAAATATTCGTTGGAGGTACTGAGGCCGAAGCTCCAATCCTTTGGCCTCCGGATGCAAAAAGCAGTCTCATTGGAAAAGACCTTGACGCTGGGAAAGATGAGGGCAGGAGGAGAAGGGGTCAGCAGAGGATGAGGTGGGACAGTGAGATGGCTGGATGACATCACGGACTCAGTGGACATGAATCTGAGCACACTCCTGGAGTTGGTGAAGGACAGGAAGCCCGGCGTGCTGCAGTCCACGGGGTCGCAGAGTCAGACATGACTGAGTGACTGAACCACCCCCACCTGGCTGGAAGTGCATCCCTCCTGGGCCTCAGCCTGCCTGGGTTTGTTTGGGGAGTGTTGAGCTGTCCGTGTCCACTGGGGAGACCACAGGCCCGTGGGCGCTCACTCTTCAGTGGGGACAGTGGGGCATCGGTGGACGTGGGGCTCAGACACCCCCAGGGACAGAAGGATGGGGCGCACCTGACACAGAGGTGCCAGGAGGCAAGTGCCCAGCAATGGCAGCAGCTGAGGCCCGTGCCGGGGATCTTAAAGCGATGCGCCCGTCTCCCCTTATTCATCTTCTGTTCCCTCCTTTACATGAAGCCCCCACCTCCCTCCCTCCCTCCTGAGGCTTGAAGACCAGCCTTTCATTCCGGGCTGGCGTGTGTCTGCTCTCCTGGCTCTGCCACTGTGCTGCACGGCTTTTGGGGTTCTGCCCATGCTCCGGTCTTTATGTTGCATCAAAGTCTTCTCCATTTCCCTGAATTCCTCTGTGAAAGACGCCTGCGGTGCAGCCAACACCAAGTCTCGTCGGGGACCCTCTTTCAATTAACCTCCCTGAGGCACAAGGCCACCTCCGGGCTGCCAGGGGAGGCCGTCCGAGAGGAGACCGTCAAGGTCACGGGTTCCTCGGAGTCCCCGTGGATGGGTGATCCCACATCCCACAGCTTGGGAAGAAAACGGGGAGGCTCTGGGCAAAGAAGGGAGGCTCTGGGCAAAGAAGGGAGGCTCTGGGAAAAGGGCAAGTTGGGACGGAGTCAGTGCTGGCTGCTCTGGAGAAGAGACCGCGACCCCGGGCTCAAGCGGTCTGGGCAGCACTTCCTGGGGGTGGACAAGGAACTTCGGGACAGGTGGTCTCTAGGAGCCCATAGACCTGATGTCAGGCTCGCTGGAGGCTCTGATCTGCTCCACCACCCAGCTCGACTGTTTCCAGCAATCCTGAAAGTGGACAGAGCCACATCTCATTTTTCTTTCATTTTTATTTTATATTGGAGTATGGTTGTCAACAACATCGTGACAGTTTCAAGTGTGCAGATTCAACTATACATACATGTACCTGTTCTTTTTCGAATTCTTTTCCCATGCAGGTTATTACATGATGCTGATGATTGCTCCCTTCCTTGTTGGTTATCTATTTTATATACAGTCGTGCATCCTTGTCAGTGTTAACACAGTCTAAAAACAACCACGCTGGACAGGCATTGTGTGGAGGGCACTCACTATCTTCTCTCCGGGACTTTTTGGGTAAAGCTAAAATCTAAACAGAGGCTTCCCAGGTGGCGCTACTGGTAAAGAACTCGCCTGCCAAGAGATTCCAGTTTGATCCCCGGGTCAGGAAGATTCCCCTGGAGGGGGCATGGCAACCCACTCCAGTACTCTTGCCTGGAGAATCCCGTGGACAGAGGAGCCTGGAGGGCCACAGTCCACGGGGTCGTAGACAGTCGGCCATGACCGAAGCAATTTAGCACGCAAAATCTAAACAAGACCTTGTATTGCTTGAGCAAAGATGCTGGTTTTTATATTTCCAATAAGAATTTTTGCTGCTGTTTTTAACACCCCTAAAAAAGCCCAATATGGTAAATCAGAACCACATTCTTATGAACTATTTTCCATTTAGCCACAGCCATAAATTGAAATTTAACTGGAAGCTCCCTGTGACTTCCAGTGGGGTTCAAGAGCCAGTCTGGGGGTGATTCAGCGGAGTCTTGTCAGAAGCTGCACAAATAAGAGAATAACAGTTACGGGTGCTCATTGTCTCACGGCTTAAAGGCTGCGCCCCTGCTAAACGCGGCTCCTTGAGCTCGTCCAGATTGCAGGGTTCAGCCACCTTGTGGTCAGACCTGAAGTGTCAATTCAGAGGCAGGGGCCTGCGACTCTTGACCTCTTGACCCGGCCTTGACCTCTTGACCACACGAGACCACCTTGGGGCACACCTGCTTCGCTCTGCGGGGCTGGGGCTTTGTCTCCCCAGGCTCTCAGTAAAAGGAAACAGAAAACATTTAACAAGTGCTCTGAACTGGCGCAGCGCGCTCGGGCCAAGGCGACGGCAGAGCGATGTGCCAGCCGTGCTCACACGCTCAGTCGTGTCCAGCCTTAACAATCCCCTTCTCGCCTTCTCTTACTAAATAGGGAAAGACGCCTCCACAGACAGACCCCTCAGTGCCAGGAATCACAGACAGTGAAGCCGGCGGGCGGCCCTGTTTTTGACGAGAAGCTGAGCTGTGCTGGGTCCTACTGACGTCTCTTTGCCCCACCCCTCGGCGTCCCCGTGCTCTGGGTGAGGACCAGCAGCCCATCTCTCTGGCCGGAAGCCTGGACACTTCTGACCCCTAAATGATACGGCTGCCCGAACTCACGAGACTAGAGCACCCACACCCCAAAACCCTGCCCCAGGGCGCATGGGGCGGTCTGGGGAGGGCCAAGGCACCCCACTTTCCCAAGCACCTGAGTGGTCTCTTGTGATCAATAGGTCAAGGTTGGGCCAAGAGATCAAGCCTGGGAAGAACCGCCCCCCACACCGGGGGGCTGAAAACCTGCCCCCAGGAGGCCTGGCTGGGAGCTGGGCTCCTCCTATGCTGGCCTGAGCATCTCCCCTCCACTCGCTCTGTAACAAATCCTCCAGCTGTGGCCATGGTTCCAGGGAAGGCTTTTCCATTTTGATAAGAAAGACTAGGAGGGGATGTTGACCTGCTGCTTATTCCAGGACACCGCAGTCCCACAGGTAACTGTACAGAGGCTCCGGGTTCCCCTGGGAGAGTGGGAAGTTTAGACAAGCAGAGAGAAGGGGCCACATCGCTTGGGAGGCAGGCACCCCCCCTGGGACCTCCTGCACAAGGTCACCACATACCCCTCGCTGAGCGCCCAGACCCAGCTGTGCCTCTGAGTTGCCCCGTGGCACCCCACCCCCACCTCCATGCGCTGGAAATGCCGGCTGCACACGTTCCCGCCGACCAGGAGCAGAACTCGCTGGACAAGCTCCCAGGTGTGTGCTGAGAAGTGCAGAGATGAAGACGTGTGTTCGAGGGTTCCCTGGGCTGAGGTCAGCCTCCAACAGACCTGCGTCTCTGCAGGCAAGTGGGTGGGCTTGGAGGATCACAGAGGGGAGCAGAAGAGAGCTGACCTGTGCTCACAGGGCTCCAGAAGGCAGAGAGGCGGGAGCACACGTCCTTCAAGGTGCCACCTCCTCCAGGAAGCCCCCCACCTCATCTCTTTGGCTGGAATATGGGCTGGCCCCTGTCCTGCGTGTGCCCTGAGTGTCCATCTGTGGCCAGTGCAAGGGAGTGAGATATCCACGCCTGACCTTCCAGTGAGATGTGTGTGACTCTGGGTTGGGGGTGGTGGTTGCTGTGAGTTGCTTCTGCACAAGCATGAAGTTGTCCACACACGTCCCTTGTAGGGGTCACCTTCGTGTTAGGGGGCCAGGCTCTGCTCGGGGTGGTGGGGTGCTCCACCCCGCCTGAATCCTCGGCCTGAATGTGATCCTCTGTGGTCCTTCCACACTGTGCTGGTTGAAGGTGCAGACACTGGGGCGGCAGCCCCATTCTGCGGGGTGTCGGTGCCACTGTGGAATAAGATGCTGACCGCTCCCCTAAAACGAAGGATTGCTCGGACATTTAAGGCTCCAGGGGGAGACTGAGGAAATGGGGTAACAAGTCTGAGTTTCGACAAAGGGCTTTTCAGGATGCCTCCGTGCTCCTCCACCAGGGGCCACGGTGCTCTGGGTCTCCATGGACGGCATGTCCTTCTCTCAGGGCGGCTCCTGTGGGCAGCTTCTCCAGGCTGGCTTTCGTCTCCACAAGGGCACGAGAATTCCATGGGACAGACGCGAAGTGGCTGGGGCTGGGGCTCAGTCACGCAGGAGCAGGGGCTGGGAAGGCCAAGCGCCAGGCCTCGGTGCGTGAGCCAGGAGCGCTGGAGCAGCCAGAGGACCCCAGCTCCACACCCACCAACTTCCTGACCCTTTGTCGTGTATCCCTTCAGTCTGCACTCCAAAGAAGCCCCAGAATGTCAAGTCAAGCGTTTTTTTCTACCAGGTCTTTCCCTAACCAACGCATTAGTCACCGACACTTAGAATCACTTAATATCTGCCAACGCCAGTACTGTCAAAGGTGCAGGGTTCCCCCTGAACGAATGCCACGTCCGCATCCATCCTTTCTTTCCATAGCTGCCACTCCATACGGCCGTGAAATGAGATGCTCAGATGGAAGCTTCCCTGAGATGCCAAGAGTTGATGGGTGTAAAGACGCCAAAGGACCTGGCCACCTGCAGAATCTGCAAAGAAGACATTTGAAAGCTGACCTTCAGCAGGCCAAGGATGTAGAGAGGGTCAGAATGAGGAGCAGGAGAGGCCCCCCAAAAGAAGCCGGCTCCCCATGCAGATCAGCAGCCTTTGAGACGGTGGAGCCAAGATGGACTCCAACGAATTCGTGTTGTGCAAAGATTGCTTTGGCTCCTCTTGAGGGATGTCGCCTGAGCAAGGACGGGGGACATGAGCCCTTAGGGGATCACTGCAGCATCCTGCAAGAAAGCTGCTCGGCCCAAGTTGGCAATGATGTCAGGAAAAGAGATGCTCGATGGTATTCAGAGGTGGAACCAGCAGGACGTGCTGCCGGACTGAAAGTCTGGCGGGTTCCCGGGGATTTTCCACCTGAGCAGACGGGGAGCTGTGCCCCTGTGGCCGTGGGGGAGCGGATTAGGAGGGATGGGGAGGAAGGCTGTGCACGCGGAGAGTCAGGGGCTTCTGTTACACGTCTGCTTGGGGATCTCGTGTGGACATTTGGGCTGCAGGAGCCGAGACTGAGATACAGATTGTGGAGTTGTCAGTAAATAGACGGAACTTAAAGTCAAGACTGAGATCAAGTGAGGGAGGATACGTGGAGGTGGGAGTCCAAGCAGCAGGGCCTGGGGATCCACATGGCTGATCAGAGAGAGAATGGCCACAGACGGGGCAGTGACGGCAGGTGATGGGCCAGGGGACCCCTGGGGGCCCTCACCCAGCCAGTGGATCAGGGGACCCTGTGGGGGGTCCTCACACAGACAGTGGGTCAGGAGACCCCAAGGGGGTCCTCACACCCAGCCAGTGGATCAGGGGACCACAAGGGGGGTCCTCACACCCAGCCAGTGGATCAGGGGGCCCCAAGGGGGGTCCTCACACCCAGCTGATGGATCAGGGGACCACAAGGGGGGTCCTCACACCCAGCTGATGGATCAGGGGACCATGACTGGGGTCTTCACACCCAGATGGTGGGTCAGGAGACCCCCAGGGGGGTCCTTACACCCAAGCAGTGGGTCCGGGAGCCCACCTGTTGAGGACCTTGACTCCAAGGGAACACCATGCTCCCAGGGCCCAAAGCTGGCTGTGGGCTAACTAACCCGGGTCCCATGTGCTCTTGGAAGAGCAGGGTGTCGGGGGGCTACTCAGTCAGCATGCTGAACCTGGGGGGCAGTGAGAGGGAGCTGGTAAGAGACACAGATGCACCCCGCACCTGGGACAGGTGCCCTGCACAGCACGTGAGAGAGATCGGCCCGAGTCTGTGTGACCAGAGGGAGCTCTCTCAAGCGCAAGCACATGCACATCCACAGGCAGCAGAGCAAGCCGAAACCCCACTAAACTCCCTCAGCGATCACGTCTGGACGGCAAGACTGGCATCGCTATCCAAGATGTTCTGCAGATGGTGCCGGACGGAGCCAGCAGGCACTCACGCCGGTGGGGCTGTCGGCACGAAACGGGGCAAGACAACGTGATGCAATGAGGCTGGAGCCTGCGGTCCGCCGCTGGACCGCAAATGTGAGCGTGAACCCACGTCGATGCCATCCCTCTAAAATGCACAGGCGTCCCGGGCTCTGGAAGGTGCAGGGCAGTCCCGGCACCTGACCGTGCTGTCCGGGGGCCACGGGCACCGGGAAGAGCAGGCGGAGGTCGGCTCAGAGCCAGGAGGGTGGACAGGGGGTGAGCGAGTCCTCCGGGGCCTGGGTCTGGGACTGGGGGGCCCAGGGTAGGTCGGGGGGAGGAGGGTGCCTGGCTGGGTGCCCAGAGAGCACAGGTGTGCGGTCCTCGGTGGCCAGGGAGCCGCCGTCAGCGCACCTGCTGACACCGTCATGGTCATGCAGAACTGGTGTGGAGGAGGGCAGCGGCCCTCGGGGGGACAAAGAGGTGTCCCAGGAGGAAGACTGGCCAAGTCAGCAGGGCTAGCCCGACCACAGCAGATTCCAGGGAGGGCGAGTGTAGGCAGGAGGCAGAGAGAACCATCTGGAAACAGCAGATGTAACACCGGCCCCCAGGCTAGTGGTGGGTGGATAGAGAAAAGCAACTCTGCCACTCTGGTGGGGGGGGAGATGGTGATGGGGCGGTGTCTCAGGGGGTGGGGCGTGGGCTCTAGTTACAGGAAAGGGGAGACTGTTGAGAGAACGTATGAAGGCAGAGGGGCTGGCTCCAGGCTGGTCCGGCATTCCAGAAGGAAGGGATGGGGTGTGCTTTCCAGAGATGGGAACGGAGCTCAGAACCTAGCTCACAGGGACAAGGGCTCAGAAAATGAGACTCACAGTGTGGCGTGCAGAGCAGCACCCGGGAGGCGCGGGTCTGGAAGGAGGCGCTGACGTGAACTCTGACTCTGTGATTCCCCGGGCCCAGTGAGACGGGGAGGTGGAGGGAAGCCCGATGCCCCGGGCCCAGTGAGACGGGGAGGTGGAGGGAAGCCCTCAAGGAAGGGGAAGAGTGAGGACCACCAGACACCCACAGACTCCTGCTCGTGCGCCAGCCCCCACTCCTGCAATCGGAACCAGTGCATCAGCAGAAGGAGGTTAGTTGAGGCAAAGACACCGCCATGTCGACAATCATGTAACTGTTCTCGGTAAAGATACAATGAGTCTCTTCCGGGAAGGTATGGAGGGCTGTGGATGTGCTAGACCTAGGACATCGGTGTAAACCCAGACATCTGGGAGTGAGGTTCAGCGATAAGACTCACCTGATGCTCAAGGCCGGCTCTGTTCTCGCTCCAGGTGACAAGCGGGAATGCACACAGTGCCCAGGGGCCAGGAGGGCAGGCGTGGTCTGGTAAACCCACAGGGAGGGGCTGCAGGGGTGACCGGAGCCCAGCAGTCAGGGCTCCAGTCCTAGAGTATGCTCCCGAGTCCACTCTCAGGAAAGCAGCCTGATGCTGAGCGTCCAGGGATCTGAGCACAGACAAGAATGGGACCCAAACAGACCAAGCGCTGAACATCAAGCACGCATTTGGACTGCACCAAACATCACGGTTCTTGGTACCAGGGTGCTTAGAATATCACAGAAGAAACAGCAAAATGGCAATTTCTAACTAGCCAGCACCCTAAACAGTGGAAATGGTGCCTGACTTTATTTTTCTGGGCTCCAAACTCACTGCAGATGGTGACTGCAGCCATGAAGTTAAAAGACGCTTACTACTTGGAAGGAAAGTTATGACCAACATAGACAGCATATTAAAAAGCAGAGACATTACTTTTCAACAAAAGTCAAGGCTATGGTTTTTCCAGTGGTCAGATATGGATGCGAGAGCTGGACTATGAAGAAAACTGAGCACCAAAGAATTGATGCTTTTGAACTGTGGTGTTGGAGAAGACTCTTGAGAGTCCCTTGGACTGCAAGGAGATCCAACCAGTCGATCCTAAAGGAAATCAGTCCTAAATATTCATTGTACGGACTGATGCTGAAGCTGAAACTCCAATACTTTGGCCACCTGATGCAAAGAACTGTCTCACTGGAAAAGACCCTGATGCTGGGAAAGACAGAATGCAGGAGGAGAAGGGGACGACAGAGGATGAGATGGTTGAATGGCATCACCAACTAGATGGATATGAATGTGAGCAAACTCCAGGAGTTAGTGAAGGACAGGGAAGCCTAGTGTGCTGTAGTCTGTGGGGTCACAAAGAGTTGGACAGGATTGAGTGATGGAACAATACCCAACAACCACAAATATGTATCCAAGATGAGCCTCTCTTCTTTCATGGGCGAGGTACTTGGACTGACCATTATTATCCAGAATTTACACTCAAAAAGAACCAAGATACCATCTTTTGAATGTTCTTAAGATACACAATGCATTATTTAAGATGGTAATGTGTAGATTGAGTCTTTCTAAGATTTCATCTCTGAATTATCAACCACACACATGGGCAGTGGCTATCTGTAGGGAAGCACCATAAAATTTCGACTCTCCTCAGATAAAATTCTTATAGTTTTTCTCAGAAATAGCCAAGGACTGTTGGTACAGGCAGCAACCACAGAGCAAAGCAGGGAAGGATATATGTCCAGGATGCAATTATCTTTTCCAGACATTGAGATAACTGTTATCACCTTGAAAACCTGATGTGTGAAATGTAATTATTTTAAGTTTCTTGGGGCTGGAAAAATATTCAGCTGCAACTCACTACCCCATGCTTTCCAAATACATCTTTCTCTCTCCCCTTCAGGATCTTGGTAGAGATTTTACAGATTCTAAAGCTTGTCCAAGACACTCAAATTGGGCACGGGGAATCCATGTGAATCCCTGAAAGCACGCCAAGGCTGCAGATCAAGGAGGCAGCATCGTGCGATCTGGTGGGGCGGGCTCTGGTCTGCAGGGTGGGCCCTCGTCTCCACCTCCCGTCCCCCAAGACAGCCTGCTGTTGAAGGAGTTCACAGGATGACAAGCAGCCCAGACAGTCCCGAGTTAGTCAACATGCTGCCCAAGATCTCAGATCACGGGAGGAGGCTTGAATAATCACCAACACAAAACCCAAGACTTCATGAATTTCATTCCTCACTGGTTATGGACAGGAAATGCTCACCTTGCTTTTAAAGTGTTCACATCATTAGATAAAGTACCCAGAAAGTGGGCAATAATAGCTGAAAGAATAGAGTGGAATTGATGGGTAATAAAGCTTTCCCAGTTTTATTTTTCTCCCACTCTCAGCAGTAACGTAGCTGAGAATCGAGGTGAGTCCTAAAGGGAATCATTGCTGAGGGGTTTTCCCCCCTTTTTTAGTTTTTAACAGCTTTTTTAAAATTTAATTTCACTTTTTATTGAAGTATAGTTTATTTACAACGTTGTATTAGTTTCAGATGTATAGCAAAGTAACTACATATGTACATATATAGACATGTATATAAGGTGCACTTAAAGACAAAAGCCTCAAAAACTTATGTTTTTATATACATTTATATATGGCTTTATATATGTTTTTGAGGCTATTATCATTAAATGCACCTTATTATGAGTGGTTTGTGTTTAATCGTGGATTTATTTAAAGCCACAACCATGTTTTACTGTCCATTTTTAATTATTCTCCTTAATTCAGTCCTCTTTGCTCCTTGAAGAAGTGAATCTTTCACCAAAAGGGCTAAACCAAGAGTAAAGGGGTCCCCGGCTCTGACAAGGGAGTATAAATGTGCTTGTGTGTTTAACTGCAGCCAAATAGAATTTAATTCTAAATAAACACACATAACTTCTTTCAACATTTCCAGATGACCTCATAACCCCTCTTCCTATCAGAAATAAACTGAAATCGATTAGATGACTAAGAAGAGGAAAACTTAGAAGGGCTGGGTCTAAGCATTTTCATGAAATGCTCACATTTGGCAGCCCAAGCTGACCCACCCGATGGTCTGCATGACAGTAATTATACAATAAGGACACATTTTTCTCCATCCCTATGATATGGAGGATCTAGCACCGCAGAGAGTGTGTCGTGTCTGAGATGGCGAACGGACACTTTGCAAACAGAGTCGTTTCTGAAGGTTCTATAAATGCCTTATCATTCATCTATCTGAATATTGTCATTATAAAGCCAGGAGCTAACGTGGCACAATCTTACTTTATAGCCTGCTTTTTCTTCTATCATTTTTCATCCTAGAGTTCAGTGGCGGCTTCTCTTTCCGAGGAGCGGGAGCGTCGCTAAGCTGCTAAGCCCATCTTCCCAGCCAGCAGGCAGAGCACAGCCGGAGCCGCGCAAACACCCCCGTACCTGGAGGTGATGCGGGGAGCAGCGGGGCTCCGCTAGCGCACCTGCGCCCATGGAAGGCCTCCTCCGGCTCCCGGCCCGCTCTGATTGGCCCGCAGTGACGTCACAGGGCCCGCGCGCCAGTGCTGCGGGCCAGCTCGGTGCCACACGGGGGTGGCTGCGATGCGTGCCTCATTAGTCTCGCAGAGTCTATCCGGTACCGAGGTGAAAGTAAGAACAGATGACAGGGCTTGCACACAAAATGAGCAGCTATTAATCCCTCCACTCTAGTTAGCCCACCTGCACGGTGGTGGAGACCCTCCAGGGACCCCCAGAGAATACTTCTGCCAGCTTGAATTGGGGTGGGGGCCTTTCCCTCACGTTGATCTGCACCTCCCGTCCACCCCATGGAACTGAGAGGTGCCAGGGACCTCCTTCAGGGTTACTTATTGGTGGTGTTCCCTCCTTCTTTACACAGAGCTTGACCACGCTGCTTCTGCTAACAGGAGTTCAAAAGCGTTTAGGCTCTAGAACATATACTGGAGGGAATGTTCAATTTTCTACCAGGAACTGGTGCAGAAGTCACTGTCTTCTAGCATCGTTCCAACAGGGTTTGATTTCTTCCCAATGTAGTTTGAATCCGTGGCATCCACCTGTGCCAGAGAAACCCATGTGGCCGTCTTCCTAATTTTGTTCAACCCACGTTTATCAACCACCTGCTACACAGCAGACACTCTATAAGAACATGATCAGAATAACAGGCCGAGGAATCAGCCATTTGGCAAAGAAAAGCTCAGATCCTGAAATGAGACAGTCTGGGGCCAGCGTACATGTTGCACTGACCCTATGTCAGGCAGTCCCACCCAGCTGTATATACATTACCTCTTTTTATGCGCATGAACTTCTGCGGGGCAGTGTACCAGTTAGCACCGGCTAGGTTTTGCTGAAGTAACAAGCATTCCCTAATGGAGCTGGTGCGCTTCTTGTAGTTGCAATGTTTTGGGGGGTCTGCACAGCTCCCTAGGGCAGTTCCCTCCATGAA